CCCCCCCCCCCCCCCCGGGAACCTAAGAAAACTTGTAGCTGACCAGAGGATTTGTCACCGTTTTATAGCCTGCCATGATCCGCCTTGGGGTCCTCCTCCTCCTCTTCGACGTCTACCTCACCTGGGCGCGCATCGAGAAGCAGTTCAGCGCCGACAGTGTGCCGTATCAGGCCAGCTTCGGCCGGCTCTCGCAGCAGCCGATTGTGTTTCAGTACCTGTTCTTTTGTACGTCGTCGCCGTCCATAACCATAACCACAAGCATAACCACAACGCAAAAGACGTTCCCTGCTAACCAAAAGTATTTTCTCCCCACACCCGCAGTGCTCCTCTGCTCCCTCTCCAACCTCGCCCTCCACCTCTCGATCCGCTTCCTCACCTCGTCCCCGCTCTCCCCGCTCGCCCTCCTGGGCCTGCTGCCGACGTACGCGCGGCCCAACTCAGTGTCGACGGCGCTGCTTGTGTCGTCGTCGACCAAGCTGTTCCCGATCCTGATGGTGATCTGGGAGTACGACGTGCCCGCGGCGGCGCGCAGCTTGGGGTGGGCCGTGGTGCTCAACAACGTCGAGGCGCTCAAGATCCTGCTCGACTGTTCCTACGGCGCCGCCGCCCTGCTCGCCACGGCCGGCGCCCTCAGCCGCTGGGCCGTCGGCGCCGCCTTCCTCTGGGCCGCCGGGCTCGAGGGCGTCGACTCGGCCGGTGAGGCGAGCGTGGCCGAGGACGGGCGCGCGCTGTGGGCCATGGTCCTGACTGTCAGGGACTGGGCCGGGAGGTTGGCTACTGGGTGAGCTGGAAGGAGTGGCTATTTGTGTTTCTTATTGATTTCTTATTGATTTCATGTCTCTTGTTCTTTTTATAGCCTGGATAGCAGACGCGTTGGAATGCTCAAGGATTGTCGATGAAGCGTTGTTTGGTAGATATGCCATGCTTGAATTCGTCTGCGCAGGTATTAGGAGAGCTCGTCCACCTTCCTTCCCACAGAGGCACCCAGACAAGCCATGGTAGAAGCACACGAATACCCAAACTCGACCTGATGCTTTCCTGTACAGACAAAAAAAGAAGCCATATAAATAACCCTACCCAATTCCCAAAACGCCGCTGGATGTATAAACATGTGTAGATATGTGAGTACAGCTAGCCAACGCACATCACTGGCCGAGATAGCACGCTGGATGCCGTCGAGGCTCGCAATGTGTCCGCCAGAGTTCTGTCCCTAGATTCCCGCCCCCTTGACCAAGAAATGTCCTATTTGATTTTGAACAGGATGGTCGTCGAATATTCATCGTTTCGGTATTCGGTGTTCCGAACTCTCGCCCCCTCCTCCCTCAGTGGTGCAGGAACTCCTTCCTCAGATCGGATCGCCTCGGCACGATCAATGGATTGAGTTGGGCCAGGAAGGTGATGGCCCACATCAGGTAGCAGCTGACGAGGGCCAGGATCAGCGAGGAGCGCCACAGCCTACGGGTTCGCGCTCTTGTTAGCAGGTGTTTTTCGTCTCCGAGGCAAGCGGTGATGGCCCATCGGGGACGTTGCTGCAGGATGGAAGCCCCGACTCCTCCGTTCAAGGAGCAAATTGCAGGCTGGCCGACAGACTCGAGCGGGGACGATGGCGGCGACGCAAACGGTGACCGAGGAGACGATGGGAAGCGCAAGGGAAGGAACGTACACTTGGTTCTCCCCCTTGGGCGAAAAGAACCAGGCGACCGCGCACATGACGCCGACGATGAACAGGCCGATGAAGATGCTCCACCTGTGGTTTCCCGGCGAAGGCTCGGGGTCAGCAAATCCGGCGGCGATTGAGATGGCTGCGACGAGACGTACCCGGTCGCCATTTTGCCTGGATTCGTCGGGGTTCGTGGTGTCTAGGGCGAGGATTGTGTTTGTGCCGTGTTCTTCGGTCGGTCCGGCGTATTTCCTGCTGGTTTGCTTGTCGCTTTCAACTTTGGCCAGTTCGAATTGTCGACTTGCGAAGCTCCGAGACGGGGTGCGCGTCAGGCCTTCGACTGGGCTGTTCAATGGGAGCTCCAGTAGCACGCGGCCCACGCTGCAGCTTGCTGGGCCGCTGAGCTTAGTCAGCCATTGCACCGTGGCTGCGCTTTGGCTCCCAGTTTTCCCTTATTTTTATTTCTGTCATTATTCCTATCGTTATTCTTACTACCATTATCATTCCCCGGGATTTTGCTTCTTGTTATTCTTATTATTACCCTGCTTTTATTCCTATTCCTACTCGTTTTCCTTCCTGGTACCCATTCTGTCGTTCAGGAGGGATTGCCATCTTTTCTGTGGTGAGCGTGACGCCTTTGATGCTTTCGCATTACAATATCCTCCTTTATCAGCATTTGTAAATACAATATTGGCAATATATTGAAGTACAAAGCTCTGATCTTCTGAGCTTTTACAGCCCCCGAAATGACCGCCGTCGCGTTTACGCATCATTCTCAAATTTCAGGCCCGCCTCCTTCCGTACGGCGCCATAAATCCCTGCAATGTCGCCCTTGGCGCCCACGTGCTCCTTGACCATAACCAGGTGGGCGTCCGCCGTCTCGGCATTGCCAAGCCTGGCGCCGACCGAGCTGGCCAGACTCATGGCGTGGCGCGCGTCCTTGCGCGCCAGGTCGACGGCGAACAGGGGCTCCTCGCGCCTGTGGTAGTCGCCCGTCAGCATGCGCGTCGAGTAGGCGGCGTAGGGGCCCGGGAAGAGGTTCTCGATGAACTGGTGCAGGTACTCGGTGCCCAGCCCCGTCTTCTCGGCCAGCACGTGGCCCTCGGCCAGCTGCTCGACCATGTTGAGGATGAAGGTGTTGCCGATGAGCTTGAGCGTCAGCGCCGTCCGCGCCGGCCGGTCGCGCATGTCGATCTCGGCGCGCGCCGTCACGCCCTTGAAGTAGGCGCCCGCCCGGTCCACCGACGCCCTCGGGCCCGCGAGCACGGCAACCAGCGCGCCCGAGTCCGCCATGGCCGGGGCGCCGAAGACGGGCGCCGCCACGAACTCGGCCCCGGCCCCCGTCAGCGCCTTCTCCAGCCGCTCGGTGGTGTCCGGGTGTATGGTGGAGCACTCGACGAAGAGCTTGCCCGCCACGCCGCCCGGCACACCCTGGACCGAGGGCCCCAGCAGCGTCGCCTCGGCCACTTGGTCGTTGGCGACGCAGCTGAAGATGATGTCCGCTTTGGCCACGGCGGCAGCCAGGTCGGCTACGACTTCGGCTTTGCCCTCGGGGAGTGTTGCCTTGAGCTCCTCTGCGCGCTTCTGGGTGCGGTTGTAGAGAAGGAGAGGCTTGTCGAGATTGCCCTTTTCGACTATGTTTTTGCACATGCCCTGGAGTGATGAAGTGTCAACGAGTGATGTCGACTGGGCGAACTTGGTCACAGCGAATCGGACTTACCCTTCCCATATTACCCAGCCCGATCCAGAGAAGCTGAGGAGCCATCGTGAATGATATGTCTGTGTAGTGATCTTGAAAATGTCGAATAAACCGAGAACCCTGTTAGTCTCGGAGTTGTGATAAGGATTCCAGTTATATCCACGATGGAGGAGACCGAGGCATTATATAGCTGGCCCAGCCGTACTAAGGTTGGCATCGAGGGTTTTATTTCACCCGTCGAGTTGGCTGGCTTACAAATTGCTGCAAATGTCTGCCCAGCTCTTTATCGTTGGCCGTGGCGGGTGGGTGGGAGAATCAAGGCCGCATGTGTATGAGCCTGAGGTTCGGATACAATATACTTCCCCCACTCACCGGGAGCAGCAGCATAGAACCGGGCAAGGACGCCGGGCGCGGGGCGGCGTTTCAACGGGATTGGATGGTCGCTGCGCAAGTACACCACTGCCGCGCACAGCGAGTCAAGGTGGTACATGTACCTGCATGCCTGGTACATCAGTGAGTGGCGTGTGGCCAGCTGCGACTGGCCTCCTATTGCTTGGTGCTCTCTCACTAGCATGCTACTCAAACTAACGGCGCTTACTAGTATCGATACACTCGGTAGCCGAGGCCTAATATCATGTTTCTTTGTGTGTTGCTTTGTGGCTGAATCTTCCCTCGCTGGGCAAAGGGAGTGGCCCGCGAGCAGCTCATGCCAGGAATATCAGTCAGTCTGATCGACCACATGCATCTTGAGTCCCATGCCCTGGCTGGCACATGCTCGAGTTCTGCCAGAGGTGTACTGCCGGATCTTAACAAGTGTTGGGTGAACCAGGGGTAGCACCAGGGGTGAAAAACAGATAAAGAGAGAGAAAAAGAGGGAACCACAGCGAGAACATGGTGACGCTGAACTGACTCACCCCACGACCAGAGAATAAAAACCCAAGGCGGAACAGACCTCAACCTTACACAGGCCGGACATACAATCTCGCCCAGAATGATGGCCTAACCCTCCCCAGACGCCCTCGATTTTCTCAGTCCTCATTTCCGACCGTCATGTTTCCCAAAGAATGATGCGAAGCACCGCCTGGAATAGGGCGGGCTCAATTGCCCAGCAGGTGAGAAGCGGCCATAACGACCAATCCGACCGAGCTCCGACCTCGGCGAGCCCTGCGTGCGCGTTGGAACAGGCGTTCGCAGCACGCCTTAATTGCAAACAGCCACTAACAGCGACAACAACTTGAAGGCCCGCGCCGGTAGGGTCTGTGAATGTCGGCGCTCAAAGTCGACCAGACGGGCGGCGACATCGTCGGCCACGAGCCGCACTCATGTCTCGACTTGCGGCTCCGCCGACGCCAAAGCCACCGACCTGGGCTCTCTCTGGCCCCCGGTCCCGCGCTGGAGGAAGGAGCAGTCCTCCGAGGACAGGGATCTGCTCAGGTCCGTCTTTGAGTCGTCGCCGACGAAGCGAGACACGAAGCAGTACCTCCAAAGCTTCGGCCCAGCCGTGCTTGCTCGCTCGGCCAAACTAAAAGCGCCTGGCCATGAAGCGGCCATCCAGGAAGCCGCGGCTGCAACAACTACGGGCCTGGACGATTTTGCCCAGGACAAAATCCCCCACGTCGCCCTCGTCAAGATACGGGAGCCCCAGTCCATCGACGATGAGGCCCTCAGGGCTCTCGGGAAGACTCTGCTGCAGCTACGGGCGCTGGGAATGCCGAGCATCGTCGTCATCGACTGCGAGCGCGAGGTCGCCGGCAGCAGGGCCGAGTGGTGGTCGACCGTTGTTGAGCAGACGGAGCGTGTGCTTGCGGCCACCGGCAAGGGCCGCCACAGCCGAGTGGTCGACTCGCTCTTGGGCATTGCGCCAACCGCCCACCCCTCGTCTCGGTTTCTCGCCGGCGGCATCTTTGTCGCCTTCGAGGAGCCTTTGATCTCGCCCTTGCGTGACGCGTCCATCGTCCTTGTGCCGTCGTACGCGACTTCGACCGATACGTCCATCGCCGTGCCCATCAACTCGAACGAGCTGGTCCTAGCCCTCGCCAAGTATCTCGCCGGGATGCAGTTTCTGTCTCGGCAGGATCCGGCCACGACCGCGGCCTTGCCCCCCAGACCTGTGCTCAAGGCAACAGTTGCTAGAGTCATCCTGATCGACCCCTTGGGCGGCACTCCAGCGCGGAACCGGCCAAACGGTGCCCACATCTTCCTGAATATGACGGATGAGTTCGATTCGGCTCTTGAGGACATCCAAACGACGCCTGACCGCGGGCTGCATAAATATGGTTCTGGAGCAAAGGTTTTGTCGGCAGACTTCATACGCAAGAAACACTCTGAGAATCTGGAGCTCACCAGGAACATCCTCGCCATGTTGCCTTCCACGTCCTCCGTTTTGATAACAACGCCAGAGGAAGCTGCCAACATCAACATCACTCGCAGCAAGAGCCGAGAAATTGAGATGCCCAAACAAGACTTTGGGTTTCTAGGTACTACGGGGACTAGGAAGGCCAAAAACCCGCTCATATACAACCTCCTGACGGATCGGTCAGTCTTTTCGTCGTCTCTGCCTCTGGGCAGAATCGCAGCGTCACGGAGCCGAAAGGACATAAACGAGCAAGAGAAGCAGCTGCAGCAACAGCAGGAACATAGCACACAGGACTCACAACCTCGCTCACGGACGACTCTGGCCAAGCGCGGACTGCCCCTGACCATGATCCCAGATCCCCGGCAGCAACTCTGGGTGCCGCCGCCGCCGGGGGCGCCGCGGCTCCGGCTGACTGACACTTGCATAGACCTGCCGCGGCTCGTGCACCTTATCAACGACTCGTTCGGGCGGCCGCTGGACGTTCGGGACTACCTCGAGCGGGTCAACGACAGCCTGGCTGGCATCATAATCGCTGGCGAGTACGAGGGAGGGGCGATCCTGACGTGGGAGGCGCCGGCGGGCCTGTCGCTGGACGAGGCGCAGCGGCAGGGTCGCCTAGTCCCCTACCTAGACAAGTTCGCGGTCCTCCGCAAGAGCCAGGGCGCGGGAGGGGTGGCGGACATGGTGTTCAACGCCATGGTGCGCACCTGCTTCCCCGAGGGCGTCTGCTGGCGCAGCCGCAAGGACAACCCCGTCAACCGCTGGTACTTTGAGCGGTCGCGCGGCTTCAAGCGGCTCGAGGACTCTAACTGGGCCATGTTCTGGACGACGCCGGACTGGGACCAGGGCCGCCTGGCCGACTACGAGGACGTCTGCCGGCGCGTGCAGCCGTCCTGGGCGGACAACAAGCACATTGTGGACTAGGGGCTATGTAGGTAGACTAGCGTTCAGGCTATTATTAGGCTTGACAGGACCAAACTGCACAACATACACGTCCGTGCGAGTATGCGGGGGAGGAGGCGTGTCGGAAGGGATCTTTGCTCGTGCGCTTTGCCTTGGATGCGACTCTAAAGTCCGAGGGATGGAACAGACATCGGCCCCGTAGAAAGGGCACTTCTTGTCTGCTTTTCTCATAGCTTGATGAGATGATTGGGGACTCGAATGACATTTGATGATTCTATCCGATGGGAGCGCTAATAGCTGTGGCTAGTAGCTCGTTGTGCTCCGTGTTGCTGCTCGATTGAATGAATGACAAGAATTAGCATGCGTGATCGTCAGCACTCTGGGCAGGGCTGACCGCCTTGATGGAGGGGAAGTTAGGCTCCACTTCCCACCTTGTGCCTGCATTCCAGGCCTAAAGCCCCTCCAGGCCGTCACCCCAGCACCCATGCCACTTGGCTCGCTTGCACAAGGGCACGCCTACGTAAGAGGTCAGCTTGTCGAACCAGACGCCCGCAGTGCAGAACATCACCACCACCCAAGCTCTACGTTTGTGGCCTAGCCTCGACACCTCGATAGGTTACCCTCCATCAACAAGCCCATCTCGAGCCCGCCAGCTGCACAACATTTCCGTTCCCATACCCACCGTCCCCGGATCAGCAGCGCAAAGATAAGCCCAAGATGGATTTCGGGTACATCAGCAAGAACCTCGGGTGCGTTTTTTTTCTCCGCCGCCGCCTTGCCAGCCAGCGGCCGCGATGACGACGACGACATCGCGCCCGATTCTCGATGGCGATAACCTCGGGGCGTGTGCACATACAGGCTAACACGGCACCACGCATCTTCCACACAGCTCGCTGGGGGCGTCCATCACCCCCTTCGCCTCCCGCACGTTCCAGTACACCAAGGAGCAGCTCGGACAGGTCGAGGACAAGGTTAGAGGAGAATACCATCCAACCACCACGTGCTCTTTGACCAGCTAGGCTGACCGGCCCCTGTTGCGCCCGCCGTCTCAGACCCAGCTGCCGCCCGACTACATCGACCTCGAGAAGCGGGTCGATGCGCTGAAGAACGTGCACCAGAAGATGCTCTCCGTCACGTAAGACCCCCGGGCGTCCTGGCATACTCCTGCGCTATGCTGGAGACTGGTACTATTTTGCTAGCGCCTGTTTTGTCCGGCCGGGTTGTGGGAAATAGCCGGCGAGCAAGGAAGACAGGACCGACAACAAGGCTGACCACCTACACCTACTCCTGACTTCAGCACCCAATACTCAAATGAGCCGTACGACTACCCGCCCAACATTAAGGAGACCTTCTCGGACCTCGGCAGGACTGTCAGCGAGAAGGTGACGCTGCTCTCGTCGGCGACGTCCCCCGCTGAGGCGCAGGCCGCGCTGACGGCCCCGCCCTCGGCCAAGCCGCAGCCCAAGACGTTCTCGCACGCCATCGCGCGGGTGTCGCTGGTCAGCAGCCAGGCGCTGCACCAGGCGCACGCGGGCGCGGGTGAGGATCCGCTCGCGACGGCTCTCGAGAAGTTTGCGCTCGCCTCGGAGCGCGTGGGCGAGGCGCGCCTGGCGCAGGACAACCAGATCCAGCGCAGCTTCCTGGCCGGCTGGAACACGACTCTCAACACCAACCTGCTCTTCGCCCAGCGCGCCCGCCGCAACGTCGAGCGCTCCCGCCTTACGCTCGACGCCGCCAAGGCCCGCGCCAAGGGCACCACCTGGAAGCTGCCCACCGTCGGCGCCGGTGCCGCCGGCCCGGCCTCGCCCATCCGCGCCGACACCCACGACGACCAAGACCTCAGCCCCGAGGCGCAGGAGGAGATTGAGAAGGCCGAGGACGAGTTCGTCACCCAGACCGAGGAGGCTGTGGGCGTGATGAAGAACGTGAGTGCCACCACCCGTCTAGCTGCGCCGCCCAACTTCTCTGACCCCTATACTGACAACGCCTTCCTCTGGCGCCCAGGTCCTGGACACGCCCGAGCCCCTCCGCAACCTCGCCGAGCTCGTTGCCGCCCAGATGGAGTACCACAAGAAATCCTACGAGATCCTGTCGGAGCTTGCGCCTCTTATTGAGGGTCTCCAGGTCGAACAGGAGGCAAGTCGCGATCCGAGCTACGGGCTCCACTGATTTATTATGTGATTACTGCTTTTTACTGCGTAAGAATGGGTGGGTGAGCGTCTACTGACTTGTGGTCGTTACAGGCGAGCTACCGGAAGAGCCGCGAGAATGCCTAAACGGGAGGGTTGAGGTAGCCAACAGACGAGGCGGAAATCATTCTTTGTTGTCGAACCGAGCCACAGGAGCTGGAATGGGACATACCCAGGGGGTGACTACCAGTAAGGTCGGCTAGTTGGGTGGTCAGCCTCGGCCCTGGAGGCTTGCAAGAATGCCGGTGTGGTTTTTTTTGGGTTTTTTTGGGGCCTACTAGTCTCGACAAGGCAGTTTTGGTAGGGCCCTCGGCTTGGGACGGAGTCTACGAGTGATGCGATGGGGTGCCTCAAGTCAGCATTGGGGGAGGCAGTCACTTTGCCTGTTTGCAATCGATTTCTGTGTTTACTTCCACATAGCTCTTGTTCCGAGTTTAGAATTGATATCACTTGCCTTCTTCGAAGCCACTCGCTGGTGGCGTCACCAGCCAATGGCGCCAAGGGCGCAATTGACGTCTGCCCCACCAGCCCCGACCGCCCACCTAGCACTCCACCTTGGGCGTGCTTGGCCAAACATCCCACAGCCCCAGAGCCTCGCCGGTTGTCATATCTCGCCCGCCCGCCACGGAGCCCGCCGACACTCCTTTGACCCAGCAATCCCTCCACAACCACTGGCGACGCCCAGTACCTACGACACCATGGTGAGTGCACCCACCTAGCCGCCGTGCTTTTCTCCCTTTCGAGGCCTGCTCGTGGGCAAGGACGACGCGTGTTGAAGCATCTGCTAATCGGCCTTCCCGCCCGCTCCCCAGCTGCCGCTAGGGCTCCTCAACGCGGCACAGGGCCACGCCATGATGGTGGAGCTCAAGAACGGCGAGACGCTCAACGGCCACTTGGTCATGTGCGACACGTGGATGAACCTCACGATGAAGGAGGTGGTGCAGACGAGCCCCGAGGGCGACAAGTTTATGCGGTTACCCGAGATATACGTCAAGGGCAACAATGTCCGTCGCCCACCTCATCCCTTCTTCTCGTGTGTCTCTCGAAACTGGATCGAGCCTGGGCTGACGCTTTTTTGCTGTTTGTTCAACCTGCCAGATAAAATACCTCCGAGTCCCGGACGAGGTGATCGACCTGGTGAAGGAGCAGCAGCAGCACCAGCAACAACAGGGCCAGCAGAGCGGCTTCCGTGGCGGCCGAGGCGGAGGCCACCATCACCGCGGGGGTGGCGACCACGGCCACCGGGGTGGTGGTGGCGACAGGGGACGGGGCGGCCGTGGAAGGGGAGGCCCCCGCGGGGGTAGAGGACGGGGGGGTGGTGCACAATAAAACACTTCCCAAGGGAGGAAAGAGGAGGGGACATGTGGAAAAAAAAGGAGAACACCGCTGCGCGCCACCGCCGTTGTCGGCGTTTGCGGAAACCAACCGATGATACCAGACCTACACCGACCCACCGATCTATACCCAGAAAGGCATACAGCACACTTCCCTCGATACTGCTTTTTCCGTGTATTCGAGGGGTTGGTTGTCGTGTTGCTCGCCGCCCTGCAGTCTCGGTAAAAGTGTTGCTTGAAGTGCGGATAGCGAGACTCGGAGGGGGTGGTGACGGCCAGGAGCCACTTTGAAGGACCAAAGAAGCAGCCTGGTCTTCCTTACCGAACTGGATTTCTTCTCCATTTAACGTGGAAAGGGTGTGATCGGGACGGAACGTCCCTTTTGGTGCGTTTATGCTGCAAGGTAGTCAAGGTCAAACCAGAGTTCAAACGTTCGTGTTGAAAGTGGGCCAGCGACATTAGGAGAGGTATACCTACCGAGCTGTGTCTCCGTGAAGTATCATGGCCAAGAGAAAATAAACCAAAGCAGCAACTCTCTGCACTGCTACGACCTGATGCCATTGCGGGAGAAGCCCCTGTATTGGGCGCACGTGACCAAACTCTTGTCAGCCGTCTTGCTGGTTCCAAGATCCACAGCGGGTCCCTGGCCTGCAGCCGCTGCCTCAAGGATTGTGCGATGACGAGAGCTCCCCTGTCGTAGCTTCTGAGGATGAAAAACACGAGCAGGAAAAATGAGTTGAGGCGCCATTGTCTGGCACAGGATACCCAACCAAAGCATTGAAGTGACGGCCAAAATCCCTCAGCATGGTCGCTCCACCACCTCGATGCTGAGCACCCGCGCCGCCGCCGGCGCTCGCGCCACGACCCTCACCATCGACGGGCTATGGCACTGTCTGTGCCCCTCAGTCGACCCGGCAGCTCTCGTCAGGGCTCTGGCGGCACCCTGCGCCTTAACCCCGGCCAGACCACGCCCGCTGCAGCCCAGTCGCTGTCAACGTCGACTCTACTCCTCGGCGACCCCGACGCCCTCTCCCGACCCCGCGCACGCCCGTTCGAGCCCCAACCCATCCCCGCCGCCACCGCAAACACCACCGCCAGAGCCCGACTTCCCGAAGCTTAGCGACTTCTGGGGCCGCCACGGCCACGGCGTGGAGGACCGGGTTCAGTTCACGCTGACGCAGGCGCAGAGGAAGGTGGCGGCGGAGCGGCGCCACCTGGCGGAGCGGCGCAAGAGCCTGGAGCTGCTGCGCACGCTGCGCAACAGCCCCGACCTCGCCAACCACGCCGTCGCCTGGGCCAAGCGCCTGCGCCGCGACATCTCGCCCAAGAACCGCTCCGGCTACCACCCGCTGGCCTTTGACATACTCATACGCTCGCAGGCCAACCGCCGCGGGAGCGCTGGCACCGTGCGCCACCTGCTCCGCCAGATGCAGGACGTCGGCGTCGACCCCACCCAGGAGGTGTACGGCAGCGCTCTGCGGGTACGTTTCTGGGCCTGGCCTGGCCGTTGGCCAGTCTTGACTGGCTCTGCTAATGTCCCCCTCGCTGACACACGCGCATCACGCCTCACCCATAGGCTCTCACCATCCACCCGGACTACGAACTGCGGAATTGGATCCTGAAAGACATTGAGAAGCGGGGCCTCGGCCTCAGGTTGGAGGACCACCACAGCATCGCTATAGGTCTTCTCCGTGACGGGCAGTACGAGCTTGCGCTGGACAAGCTGGAGTCCATGGTCAAGACTCTGGTGCGTGTGCCGGACTGGGTCTTCGACGTCTTTACATATACGTTCACGGAGCTAGGCTTCTACCACGAGGTATTCCAAATAATCCAGCACCGACTGGAGCGAGACGATGGGCGCGAGCCACCCGTCATACTGTGGTATTATATCCTGGACAGCTGCTCGCGCGGGCTGCACTACGAGGGCACCAAGTTCGTGTGGAACCGGGTGGTCGAGACGAACCAGCTGAACCCGCCCGACGGCGTGGTGCTCAACGTGCTCAACACGGCGTCCGGGGCGGGCGACACGGCGCTCGCGACGCAGTCGATCCGGCTCCTGGCCGCGCGCGGGACCAAGCTGGGCCTGCACCACTACGAGCCCCTGATCGAGTGCTACTCCGGGTCGGACGAGTTCGAGAACGCGCTGCGGGTGCTTTGCATCATGGCCCAGGCCGGCATGGAGCCCGACTCGGGCAGCACGCGGTCCATGTTCCAGCTCCTGCAGCGGCTCGAGCGCGAGACGGTGGTGCACGGCATGCCGCGGCTGCTCTTCCGCGCCAAGGAGCGCAAGGAGAAGGTGCCCGTGGCGGCCGTCAACGTGGTCATGGAAGGCATGCTCCACCACGGCGCGCGGCGCGAGGCCATCGACCTGTACAAGGGCATGCGCCGCGTCTCGCCCTCGGGGCCCAACCTGGCCACGTTCGACATGATGCTTCGCATGCACGAGCCCGACCCGCGGCTCGCGGCCTTTTTGGCCGCCGAGATGGCGGCCCTGGCCATCAAGCCCGGGAGGGAGACGTACGACCACATGGTGCGCGTCTACGCCGAAAAGGGCAGCCTCGAGACGGCCCTCCGCTACCTCGACGAGATGGGCAACGCCTTCTCGCGCGACCTCCGCCGCCGCGGCTGGCTGACCCCCTCGACCGCCGTGACGCTGCTGCGCCGCTGCATCGCCGAGGAGCACGCCGCCACCTGGGCCATCATCGAGGAGTGCGAGGCCCGCGGCCAGACCATCGCAAACACGGCCCGCAAGATGCTCTGGGAGAAGTCCCGGGCCGACGGCGGCGCCAGCTCCTGGGGGCCGCCGCCGAAGCGAAAACAGCAGCAGCAGGAGCAGTGGCCCGCCAGGGACTGGGTGGGCGGCAGTGGCGCCGCCGAGGCTGCGAGCGGCACGGGCCAGGCCGAGGAGAGCACCGCCCAGAAGGTGGGGGGTGATGCCGCCCAGGCCGAGAGCAGTACCGGCTCTAGGGACACGGCCGGCACCGCGGAGGACTTCTTCGGCCCGGTGGACCCTTCTCCCGGGAACGGTACCGCCAGCGCCGAGGCGGCCTCGCCCGCCACAGACGGTGATGCCAGCGGTGAAAACGGACCTAGGGGCCAGGACAGCTAGGTAGCGAGTTGGGTATATGCGGAGATGTATCTGTTGGGGTAATATGTCGTCTGGCGCTTGCTAGGCTCACCAAGATGTATTATCCACACATCTTTCTCCGCCTGGCCGTTTCGTCAAATAAACAAGCAAGCTCTCCCCGGTTGTGGCCTTTTACTCAACCGACATGCCGAGCTCGAGTAACAAAGTGGCCCGCACCCCTCGCGCAAGGGGCGGGGAATGTGGACGGGAGTGAGCCCCATCCTGTTCCATCTAGCCCAGGTATATCTATATCTAGGCCCAAGGCGGACACCCAACATAAAAAAAAACATAGGTTGTACAAAAAAGGTGCCTGGTACATTAAACTGCCAACTTGAACACACCTAGTCCGCCCTCAGCTAAAGTGGTCACCCTCCCACTCACCCAGCTTCCCGACGTCCCCCCGCCTGAGGAGCCTGCGGTACCTCTCGCGGCGGGCGGCCTCCTCCCTCTGCTCGCGCAGCCTCCTCTTGCGCTCGTAGACGGCGCGGACCGTGGCCCTGATCTGCTCGCGGCCCTCACTGTAATTTGCCTTGGCGAGCGCCACCACCTTGTCGACCTGGTCGGGCATGTAGGTAAAGTTCCACGTGCTCATGTAGTCGCTCGAGGCCGGGTCCACGTCGGCCACCTTGTCGTTCGGCAGGAACGGCATGTACACGACGGCGATGCCCGCGTCGGGCTCCATCAGCCTCCACGAGTCGCCGTCGCCGTCCGACTTGATGGGCGGGGGCGGCTCCGTCGACCGCTCCTGCGTCGTGCCGACCCAGACCGTGCAGTAGCCCAGCGTCCTGGCCGCCTCCTCGTACTTGTTCTTGCTCTCGACCGCCTCGCCGTCGTGGCCCATGGCGGCAGTGGCCTCGTCTTTGGCGACGCCAGAGCCGGAGCCGCCAGGCTGCTTGGCGGCCTGATGGTGCTGCGCGTCCTGGACCTTGCGCTCCGCTTCGTCCGTAGAGCTTGCGCTCGCCTCCTGCAGCTGCTTGGCTGTCTCCTGTGGCGGGGTCTCCTCCTTGGGCCAGCCGATACCGACGGGCCAGCCCTTGATTCCTCTCTGCCGGGCATAGCCGTCTGCTACCGACAGCCAGTTGTCCGTCTTGATGTCGGCGGACGCGTCGAACGCAATGATGACCTCGACATTGCGCCCCGGGCGGAGGAGAGGGTAGATGGGGAGGTTGTTGGACATTCCAGCATCCATGAGCTGGATATACTCGCTTTTTGGCAGGCTGGCCGGGGCCGTCTTGGGTAGCTTTCCTTCGCCCATGCCGTAGACCGGGTTCGGGAGGCTCGTGGGGTCGATGGGATGGACCTTGCTGAGGTCTTCGTTCCGGCCCGAGATGGCCTGATCGATGGCGGCAAAGCCCGACATGCTCTGCACGAGCGGCTGGATCTCTCTGTAATAATGGCTCAGCGTTGCACAAAAGGCGCTGCCAAACATGCCGAGAAGCAGCGGCATGCGGATCTCTGGTAGGTGGAGGCCGCCGGCCTGCGGCATGTCCTTGCCATCACGGAACCTCCTGCCCATGGCCCACGTTGGGATGCCAGCCTCGAACTCCTCGCAGAAAAACTCATAAGGTGTGATCTCAAACCACTGGAACCAAGCTTCCTTTTTCGCCTTCGCTTTAGATTCCTCGGATGCCGAGGGCACCTCAGCGGGCGAGTCGACATCGACATCGGGAATCTCGTGCCTCACGGCCGTGTATATTGGCAGGGGATTGGCGCCAGCACGGACGTATTGTCTCTGGTGCGAAAGCTTGAAGTTTTGTTCGTCGACATCCAGCTCACCCCTAGGGACCAGAAGTCTTGCTGCAAGCAGAATCCCATATACGTCGACGAGGCCGAAGTCAGCCTTGGGGTCACCCTTTAGCTTCTCGATCAGGCCGCTCAGGAGGGGCTTGTTGGTCGGGGCCGATACGAGGGCTGAAAAGGCGGCAGGTGGGAAGGCGATGTGGACGCTCAGGCGAGCCTTGAGGTGGTCGATAAGCTGGTGCATGTCACAGTTGGTGATTGTGGAGAAGTACATGCTCTGCAGCCAGCACGATCCGCTGACGCCTGCCATGTATGTGACGCAGTCGAAGAGGCCGTCTTCGGAAGCGGCGCACATGGATCCGGCACCGGCGACAAGGGCCCGGAGACCACCCCCAGAGCCGCAGATGCCGATGGTCGGCATGTCGTCTGGGTGGATGTCCTCCTCGGCGAGCCCGAGGTACTTGGCGAGAGCGACCCTGGCAACCTTCCTCCTGCGCTCAAGAAAGCTCTTTTCGTCGTCACACAAATCACTCGAAACTCGGACACTGGCCGAGTATCGTATCTCGGGGTGGACAGACGGATCGTGGGCATCGGCCCACACCTCATCGGCGAGAGAGCCAGGGGCCAGAGAGAGCTCGCGCTGGAGTTTGCGAAGATAGCCCGGCAGAAGTTTTGTCCACTCGGGCAGGATGAAGCCGACAACTGTGGATGTGCCCCAGTCGCCCTCGGTCATTTTCGAAATGCCCTCGAAGCTGCTAGCAAAGGTCGACCAAGCACCCTGTTGGGAGCCAGCCCCCCGGGCGTCGCCGTTGCAGGGTTCCGTCACAGGACACCACGTAGGAGCGGCCTTCGTCCCATGCCTCTGCATGTGCTGGAAGTCGTCTGAGGGATATAGTGAGTAGACCAGGAGACCTCCGCCGACGAGCAGCGGCGCCAGCGGGGTCCGGTGGCGAGGGGTCGACGGCCGCTTGGCGAGTGAGAATACCGGCCTGCGACGGATATAGCCGAGGGGTACGACCCCTGGTCGCATGGATAGTGGCCGAGACGCGGCTAGGTGTGCCAGGCCACCGGGCCTGACAGCGGCCCGCACGAGGCGAGCCATTTGCCTGTGCCGCGCGACTTGGAGGGGTGGATGGCCAGACAGACGAACACTCGCTCGCGTGCTGATATCAAATTGCGCTGAGGGGCAGAGCGGGCGGCGCAGGCGGAGGAAGCAAATAAGGCGAGCCTGTGGCGGGCTAGTCACTGTTGGGTGCTGATCATGTCTGGATCCGGCTTGGCTGCATCGATAGAGGAAATCGAGGGAAGGCAACGCGAGGGCAACGACAAGGCAAAGATAGGCAGGCCCAGGCTGAGAGGTAAACGCGGCAGGGGCAATGCGATGTGGGCGACACGCGAAAGCTGCATTACAGTGAACAAGGTAAATTGCGAGAGGATGGAGTGTCAATGATGCATCTGCTTTGCTTTTGTCTGGGGAGAAATCAACGATATTTTCCAGTCCGTCCCAGCGCCATCGCAGGGCTGCAGTCGCAACAGCTGCCCGTGTTACTGACATCATCGACGTCGACGGGGTTTGGCTGGGGCCGCTGACTGATTCTTCCAGAACTTGGCCAGGGCCGGGCTGCTGAGCCGGGCAGCCTGAGCCCATGGGAAAAGGAACGGGTGGCGGATACGGATTTTGATGGGGCCGGCTGCCGAACAAAACCATGAGATTGGCCAGCTATGGCGCAACAAGTGGGGCCGCGATGCAGCAACCGTTTGTCGTCGTTTCATTGCGACCTCGAGGTGCGAGGTGTCGACGGCAGCATGGTGGTTGTCAGACAATTGGGGAAAAAAGCAACAAAAAAAAAAAGCTTGCAAGGTCTCTACCCCAGCCCACCCACCAGCGGTGTTCCCGACATGTCAGGATTGCAGCTCACTGCAGTGTGTTCAGTTCAGCCAGTTCAGTTCATCCGGCAATCGACCACACGCCGTCCATCCATTCAGACAGAAGCAAAATCCCGGGTCCATCCATCATCGTTGTTTTCACTTGGTGGCGCCCACGCCCCATCTAGATCGCTCCCCAGCCCCCGTGTTTTGCCTTGGAGAACACAGATCATCATCTAGGAGCAGAACACAGATCACCACGCCACATCTCGGCACGGTCGACGGCTGGAGTCGCATTCTAGACGTCTGTGAGATTGCAGAAATCAGGGACCACCGCAATGAACCAGGCCAAAAGGGGCCACATGAGTGCCGGCAAACGACCTGAACGGGCGTTTCATCGAAGAGCCACCACAGACAGGGGCGTGTGGAATCCAGCCCGTGACGGCGGCCCAGGACATGGAAGGCCTGGAAGGCCGCACCTGGTAAATACCACCTCACAACCGGCCTGCCGTAGGTACCCATTTGAAGCCCGCCCTGAAGCGATAATCGCCTAAACCTTTGTGTCTATGCCGCGCTTGTCAGCCAGCGGCTGCAGCATGGGAGACGCAGGAATGTTTGCATTGTGGCATTCAAGGTGGTCGAAGTGCAAAAGGAAGAAAACAGAAAACCCAATAGGCAAGGGGCGCCACAGAACAGACGAACGGGAAATCGGATACGCCGATCATCTCTCTCGCATCCCGCGTCCGTGCCTCGCCTGCCATTTCAACCCAAGCAACCACCGACGTACCCACGCACACAAGACGGGGAGCGGCAGCCTGCAGCCTGAGGCCGCAAAACAAAACAACAGCTCAATGCTCCGATTGCTGGCGCTGTGGTGATTTTGATGTGTCCGTCAGGGGTGCAGGCTGGGCCCCGCTAGCGAGGATTGGACTTTGATGCCGGGACCACTTTGCGGGCGTCCCCAGCCGCTGATTGGCCACAGCCCTCGAATTCCTGTCCAACTGGGAGCACCCCAGCACAGGGGACCAAAAGGGACCAGATGGACCGCCAGTGCCTGCACTCCACGCGTGCACACACCCGTGCCCGTGCCCCTTTTGCTCTGGGGCCCTGTTGAGCATCCGCCCGGCTCCTATCCCAACTTTGGCAACCGTCGCACCCAAATTTCCTGTGGAATTAATTGTCCTCCTCTTCCAGACCTCCCCGTCCCGACCTCGACCTCTCCTTCCTTCTGCCATCACCGCCCCAAGAGGAATCCAGCTCTCGACCTCTCTGCCGAGTCCGCACCTCGCAGAATTCACTCCTTCGACTCTCCTTCATTGGCAGTAAGCCTTCTTATTTCTAACTTAGCTTGGTGTAATCGCGCGTGCTGCTTCCTCCCCTGCCATATCCGTTTAATACGTGCCGCCCCAGTCAAGAACTCTCCTGGCTCGTGTGGTAGGTTGCAAATTTCCTGCCGCCCCTTTTTCTGCACCAAAAAAACCACCACAAGTTACAACGCGACCGCTCCTGCTTCTTCTTCCTCCATCTTCCATCCTCAGCAACCCGCCTTCCACACCTTCCCGCTTGCACCAACCCTGGCGCACATCCCAATCGCATCAGACCGCGCCGACGACCTCCCCAACAAACCACCGTTCGTCCTGCCCCGTATGCTTTCCTTCTCGTGACGTGTTGGCTGGCTTTGGCTTTGGCTTTGGCTTTGCGGAACGGCTTCGTCCGTCACCATCATGACCTGAGCTCGAGTGACGAAGCCAAACAAACCCAGAAACCCATAAAGCCACCTGCCCCAACAAACCCAAAGGCCCTAGGTCTAGCCCTAGCCCTTTCCTTCCTGTGCTAATGCCTGTGTTTTCCGCTTAGAATCGCACCTTCCTAATCACAGTCCTCGTTTGGAATCTGCCGATTCTTCACAATCTTCAAAATGGGTAAGCACCGTTCGAGTCTCTGCGCACGCGTGAGGAAGCCACGACGAGAGAGAGAATGCACCTGGCCGTTTCTGCCACATCCCATGGACGCTCGACACCCTCGGCCGACCTTCCTCCAAACCCTGCTGGGTTTCCATCCGCCTTGCACATCGCCTAAGCTGGCACCAGGCATGGTTTTTCGGGGTCTCGCAAGAACAACAACGCATCAGGCGGACGACGACCGGACCGCACGCCCCGATACACATCACAGCACTTCACACTCTTTACGATTCTATCTGGTATTCATAGGGCTAGGGCCAGTCGCCCTTGCACTTCCGATTGGAAGCCGTTTGTCCCTTGCCAGTGCCCTTGGCTGCTGCTAGCTTCTGCGTTGGCTGTTTTCTTCGACTCCCGCGGTCAAAATGCATTTCGATCTGGGGCATCACTCCAAGTCACGCACTCGCAGCGTCCAGCTCGAGAAGGACTTCGATTTGACAGAAGCCGCATCACGGGCCTCTGCAACCAAGGAGAATGCGGTCACCGCAGTCGCCCCTGTGCCATCGGCGCGGTCCAGCAGTCTTCCTGGCTTGAAAGACGTCAATGGTGCACGGCAATACCGGAGCATGCTGGACGTGGAGGTTCCCCCATCTCTAGGCCCCGTCAAACCTCTCGACTACGGCGAGCTCTACGTCAACGGATCCAAGCTTCCAACCAGTCAGCCTCTCTCGTCGTGGCTATTCTCGTGTTGCGCTGATTGCTTAGCTCAGACGATGTGTTCAGCCAGATACTAACTTGGGTGTTTTGCAGCTGCAAATGGTGCTGCCGGCTCGCCGCCCCAGTCCAGGGCGTCGCCAGTTCCTCCACCTAGCGGTACGTTATTACCACACATCCAGCCATGCTTCCCGTTGTCAGCAGCGTCCCGACTAACTCGGTGAACCAAGCAGTCCCTGCCTCGAACGACGCCCGCAACATCGTCCGTCGGAAGCTGACTGGCTATGTCGGATTCGCCAACCTTCCCAACCAGTGGCACCGCAAGAGTGTCCGGAAAGGCTTCAACTTCAACGTTATGGTCGTTGGTAGGTTCCAGTAGCCTCGACTTTTATAACCCGCCAGTCGCTTCCGTGCAGAGCTGACATGTGGATTGTAGGCGAGTCCGGGCTAGGCAAGTCGACTCTTGTCAACACCCTGTTCAACACTTCGCTTTACCCCCCGAAGGAGCAGAAGGGCCCTAGCCTCGACATCATCCCCAAGACCGTCACCATTCAGTCCATCAGCGCCGATATTGAGGAGGCCGGTGTCCGTCTACGACTTACCGTCGTCGACACTCCTGGCTTTGGTGACTTTGTCAACAACGATGAGTCATGGCGTCCCATCGTGGACAACATTGAGCAGCGGTTCGATGCCTACCTGGACGCCGAGAACAAGGTTAACCGGGTAAACATTGTGGACAACCGCATCCACGCCTGTGTTTTCTTCATCCAGCCCACAGGCCACTCGCTCAAGCCTCTGGATATCGAGGTTATGAAGCGTCTGCACACCAAGGTCAACCTGATTCCCGTCATTGCCAAGTCCGACACTCTGACCGACGACGAGATTGTTGCTTTCAAGCACAGGGTAAGATGGCCTATTCAATGACATCTAGGCGCTGCTATCTGCACAGCTTCCTAAATGATGAACCTCGTTGCTAACTGTACTCTTCGCTAGATTCTCGCCGACATCAAGCACCACAAGGTTCAGATCTTCGAGGGTCCCCGCTACGAGCTCGATGATGAGGAGACCATCGCCGAGAACAACGAGATTATGTCCAAGGTCCCCTTCGCCGTTGTCGGCGCGACCAACGAGATCACAAACGCTGATGGGAGGAAGGTCCGAGGTCGTCGTTACCCTTGGGGCGTCATCGAGGTGGACAACGAGGAGCACTGCGACTTTGTCAAGCTGCGCCAAATGCTCATCCGAACCCACATGGAGGAGCTCAAGGAGCACACCAACAACATCCTGTACGAGAACTACCGTACCGACAAGCTCATCCAGATGGGTGTGTCGCAGGACCCCAGCGTCTTCAAGGAGGTCAACCCTGCTGTCAAGCAGGAGGAGGAGAGGTCGCTGCACGAGCAGAAGCTGGCCAAGATGGAGGCCGAGATGAAGCTCGTCTTCCAGCAGAAGGTCGCCGAGAAGGAGTCCAAGCTGAAGCAGAGCGAAGAAGAGCTGTACGCCCGTCATCGCGAGATGAAGGAGCAGTTGGACCAGCAACGCAAAGATCTGGAGGACAAGAAGTCGCGCGTCGAAAGCGGCCGTCCGATTGTAGAGGGCAAGAGGAAGGGTTTCTCTCTCCGTTAAACCGGCATGGCTCCCCTCTCCCTCCTTTGTCCTCCATGACCATTGGCCTTCTCTTTTCGCTCATGATGCCCGCAATACCACCAAGCCAACGCTTCTTTCCATTTCCTTACCTATTCTTTCACCTTCGGCCTCCCCCACTTTAATCACAGCCACTTTATTCTCAAACAAAAATACCCTCTATAAGAAAGGACAGACGCGGCGTTTTCTAACCCAAGGTGCGAACGGTGTTGAGGAAAATGAAACCCAAGGAAGAGAAAGAAAAAGCCCAAAAGCCCAAGGCTCCCGAAACCCCCCTGTTTGGTCGGAGCCCCATGCTTTGGCGGTCGGTCTTGAACACTTAGGGACGATATACTGTTTGGCTTTGATGTTTTTTGACACATTCCGTCGAGCAACCATTTCCTTTTTCTGTTTTTTTCCTTATCTTGTTCTCCGTCATACCCAGTGCATCACGGTGTCATCCCCTCCTCGAGGGAGTAGCCTCGGAGTCCGGCTTGTCTTGCAGCAGTGAAGTGGCGGTGGACATTGTATCCACCCGCCTACCTCGTTACCGCGTTACACACCGACCAGTCTGTCTTCCCAGGCCACGTCCCAGCATGCGACTACCCCACCTCCTAGCCAGATGTTGTCAGAACGCTGGCGCCAATGGGGCATGCGAGAATGGGCTCGGCGAGCCATCCAGGTGACATCCGGTTGTTTGCTTTGGAGGGGCGACGACAACCAATATCTCTGTATTCTATCATTGGCTCTGCTGGATTACGCACCGGAGGAGTGAGAGGATTTGGGTCTCAGCCTTTGTCGCTTCTGTCATACCCTCGCTCGACCACAACGTGGGTGGTGAGCCTGGCAATTGCCATACCACACTTTTCCTTGGTTTTTGCGGACTTCTACCCATTTTGCCCCCTCTAATTTCCTTAGTTCTCATAGCTTTTCTTGTCTGAATGCAAAACGATGTTTCACATCACTCCTGGTGTCTTGACTTGGATGTGCCCCTGATATTCCGCCTCTACAATCTGGTCGTTCGGGGTGCTGCCATGGTATACACAGACAGTATCCTCGGAAGTCTTGGTGATATCCCTATGCCCCCAAAAGACACTGGGCAATGTTGTTTGTGTGAAACTTGCGACGATGGCTGGTGTAATCATCACCGGAATCGGCTAAATCCATTGTAATACAGGTACATCTACATGCGGACGCGGCGCATTTTTTCCCCGGAACCACCTGTCGGGCGGAGATATTATATATACACGACACATTGGAGTCTTGGACGGTGGATATCTACGTCACGACACACGCTAGGGGGCACAGAGCCGGCAAAGCAACAGCTGCAGGGCGCGTGAGGTGCGGTGTGGTTTCCAAAAAAGATAAGAAACAAGGAAGGGGGGTGAGGGGAGTTGAGAGATCGGGTCGATCATCTCCTCCGCAGGTACCAGTTGAAGCTGAGCTGGCCCAGCATCTCGGGGAACGGCGTCGGGACCTCGGAGTGGCCCTGTCTCGCGACGGGGTGGCGCAGGTAGACGGCCGAGCAGATGTTCTGGTTCACCTCGAGGTACCTCGGGATGAAGGCGAAGGGGGGCATCCAGGGGCGGGGCTCCCAGGGGGTGCGGTAGGGCTTGGACTCGTCGTGCGGGTTCTCGCGGTACTCCTGCATGATGAGCTCGAACCGCCTGCGCTCCGACCTGCTCAGCCCCCTCTCGTCGCTGACGGCGTCGAACGCCGCCTCGATCTCGTCGGCGGTGCCATCCGAGGGCCCCGGCCTCGGCCGCGGCGCCTCGGGCGAGGCGGGGGTATTGTTGGGCGCCAGGGATAGCTGGTTCAGCACGTCGGCTAGGTGCTCGACCGGGATCTGGTCCGACGTGACGGACGCGCGGCCCGACTGGGATATGACCTTCTTGACCTCCTGTTGGAAGGCGCGGAGCTTCTGCTTGCGCTTCACGCCTAGGCTACTGTCCATCTCGATGATGGACTTGGCCGATTCGAGGAGCTTCTTGAGGTCGCCCTTCTTCTGCTTCACTGCTGCTGCCTCGGCCTCGGCCTTGGCTTCGGGATCCGCAGCCTCTGCGGCCTCGGCCAACTCGCCCTCCTCGGCAGCAGCATCCTCCGACACCTCCGCTCCCTCCTCCCCCTTCGCCTCCGTTTTTGGCTTGTAAGGGCCCTTTTTGCCCAGTTTTCGTTGAAGCTCGGTCAAGTTGCCCTTTTGCTTGCCGGTTGCCAGCAGAACCATGTCGGGATCGACCTGAAACATATCGCCAGGGTTCAAGAGATAGCTAGGGTGTGGCATCTACAAAAAAAAAAAATGTTGTGTTAGTGTCCTTATTTCTCTTAACGGCCAAGAGGAAGAGGCAAGGAAACGAGAGGTCCCGTGGGCACCTTTTTGCCATTGACCTTGACGCGGCCGTGGACAACAAACTGCTTGGCCTGCCTGGCGCTGCTGGCGAACATGGCCCTAAAGATTGCCGTGTCCAGGCGCCTCTCGAGAGGCGCATAGGCCATCTGCATGTACGGGGTCGGCCTGTCGCCGTTCTTGCTGTTGGTCCGCTGGTCCCCCCACAGGCTCAGCTTGCCGGACCCCCTGCCGCTCGCCTGCTCGGAGCCGTCGTGCTGAGCCATGTAGCGGGGGTCCATGTCGACGACGGCGTTGAAGCGGCGGCTAAACATGCGCTCCCACTTGGACTCCCGGATGTGCTCGCCGTGGTAGGCCCTGCTGCGCGCCTTGGCGAACCACTTTTGCTGGAAGAAGGTCTTGCTGGTCAGGGACCTCTCGTGGATCCTGAGCTTGGCCAGGTTGTAGAGGTTGTATTTGTTCCATGATTGGCGCACGTGCTGTGTTTGCGGTTCCGGGTCAACGGCTTGGTCTCTGTGACGGCACATGCCAGGGAGGGGAACTGGAACTTGGGCTGGCAGCAGCTCACCGCGCGCTTCAGGCTGTACAGCCTCGTTGACCTCCTCAATCTCATTTTGGGCTATGTGGGCGCCGTGAAAAGCACCGTCGGCGCCTGGTGCAGAGGCCGGGACGATTCCGGAGTCGGGACTTGGCTGTACTGTTGGGAGGGGTTGCCGCCGCGCTCTCCTTGTGCATGGCTAGTCGCAGCGGGCTTCCTAAAATTTTGACCCTCTTTGAGTGCCTCACGTGAGCTCGCGGCTTCGACGCTCCAGCTTCAGACATCAATTGAGCTCTTAGGCTTGAGTACCCCTGTCAGAAACGCGACCAGGGGCCTGTCCAAGTGGCAAAATGGCCCGAGCTTCCTCGACTACAGGCTGCCCCGCTTGAACCCGTCCCAGTTGATTGGCTAGGTTGTCAGTCGTGACAGGCCCGAGCCTCAATTGATCAACTGGTTTCGATGTGTGGCATTTTTCCAATCACCCAATAGACATCTCTTCATATGTAGTCCACCTACACGCCCTTCCTATTTCTTATCCTGCTACTCTCTCATCTTCCTCAGCTAGGTCTCTCTATTCTCATCCGTCCACACTCCATTGTTCGGGACCTGCATGGGGGTGTGGGTGGGTTCGATTTAAGCGGGGCAGCGGGAATGGGTGGCTGGTGCGCTTTTATCAGTGGGGTTGCATGGCTTATCCATTGGGCGCAGATTTTTTTGCCTTTTTTTTTTGAAGCTCCGCCGCGCTGCTATTGTCCCCCAATTGCTCCGTTCCTATTCAGTTTTGCGACAATAGGAGCTTTTGGGTCCTTTCAATAAGTACAATAGCTCGGCCTCGGATTGTGTTGGTCTGAATAGGCCTTGGTGGGATATATAACCTCCTCCTCTCCCCTGTGCCAACGGCCTCGATCAGTTCTTATACTTTTGATTTTCCCAAACTTTCCAAGCTTCCCGTTGTGACTCTCTCGGCAAGCCAACCCCGCCACACTTTTCACTCTTGACCCCTACCGCGCAAGGCGCACCAGCAATCGACCTGCACCAACTCCCCTTACTTTACTCATAGGCGCAAAGTCACACGACAGGCCCCTACAGTCATAAGAACGGTCAGCATTTGTCCTCTTCACATTTAAGGGCATACCTGGACTCGATCGTCAGTTCTGACAGCTCCAACCAGTCCACAGATCAATTCGACAATGAGTGACGTCGCGCCCAAGGTTGAGGTCGCGGCGCCGGACGCTGCGGCCGCCGTCAAGGCTGAAGAGCCGGCTGCCATCAAGGCGGAAACCTCAGACACCCCCCTTCCTGCTGCTTCGGATGCCGACGCTGTCAAGGCCGCCGAGAAGCCCAAGACCGAGACCGCCGTCGAGGCTGCTGAGGAGATCGAGACCGAGGCTGTCAAGGAAGCCAAGGATGAGCCTGTCGAGGAGGCCAAGACTGAGCCTGTCGAGGAGGCCAAGACTGAGCCTGTCGAGGACACTGCTGCCGGTACTATTGAGGAGGCCACCAGCGATTCGCCCGAGGATGGTGTCGAGGAGGAGAAGGGAGAGGATGCGTCGGAGGAGTCGGCCAAGATCCTGAAGACCACAGCCAAGGAAGACAGTGATGCCGCCAACAACAGGAAATTCGACGCATCCCTCCTTCCCGAATCCACTGATCCTGCCGAGATGCGCAAGCAGGTACTACAACCCTCTCCATAACCCCTACCGCCCCCAACCCACTCCGCTAGAATCAATGCTCTGACAAGCTTCCATCAGGTTGAGTTCTACTTCGGTGACAGCAATATATCGCAAGACAAGTTCTTGTGGGAGAACACAGACGGCTCCAAGAAGCCAATCAAACTCAGCATCATCCACAACTTCAAGCGCATGCAGCGTTTCAAGTCGTACGAGCAGCTGGTTGCTGCTCTCCGTCAGAGCGAGATGCTCGTGATCGCCGGCGAGCCAGGTGAGGAGACAGTCGCGCGCAAGGAGCCTTACGACCCCGCGCGTGGTCATAAGCCGACCCTCCGGACCGTCTACGTCAAGGGATTCGGCGACGAGGAGCCCACGACGCAGATCGACCTCGAGATGTTCTTCAACAGCTTCGGCCTCGAGGTCGAGGCCGTCCGTCTCCGGCGCACAGACAAGAAGCTCTTCAAGGGATCCGTGTTTGTCGAGTTCAAGACGGACGAAGACTTCAAGAAGTTCCTGGGGCTAGACCCCAAGCCCAAGTGGAAGGACCACGATCTGAAGATCATGTCCAAGGTTGACTACTGCGAGGGGAAGAACGAGCAAATCAGGGCTGGCCTCATCAAGCCATCGGCCAAGAAGGCGTTCCGGGCTGGTGTGCAGCAGCCAAGCCGTGGTCGGGGCCGTGGCAACTCAGAGAAGCGCGAGTGGAAGGACCGCCGAGATGGCGACCAGAAGCAAGGCTCTAACAACAGCCGGGGTGGCCGTGGGGGTCGTGGGGGTCGTGGTCGGGGTGGTCGGGGTGGTCGTGGCCGTGGCGGACGTGGCGGCGGCGGTCGTGGCGGCCACCGCGACGGCGACCGGGATGGACAGCGTAACGGTGTGAAGGAGGAGCACAAGCCCAGCAACGGCAACGATGTCAAGCCCACCATCCACTCTTCTGCGCCCAAGAAGGAGGCCAACGGCAACGGCAAGCGGCCACGCGACGGCGAGGCATCGGGCGAGGCGCCGGCGGCCAAGAAGATCGCCACCGGTGACTCATGAAATTACAGTTATGACACGACATCCCCTTCCCCCACGACAATCTCGATTTCCGTTGCATATCCTTGTCGCCATCTCATACCGCGTTCTTTCTCAAATTCTTATTATGTTTTCTTAGGGGTCAAGGCGTTGGCATGACTGGAATTTCCTTTTGAGGCACAGTTGATACTCCAACTTTGTAACTTGGCATGGAGGAGAAAATATCATACAAATTCGCCTTTGATGAATCTTGCGAGAGTAAATGAGTGATTGAAGAAGACTTTCGTTATGGGCGAGCACGGGCAACGTCATCCCAAGGCTCTTGGGCCTCAGCAAGCTCTAGCGGCAGTTCAGACACCGAATTCCCGAGCTTCGGATATCTGGCCCCTCCACAGCAACGAGAGAAGGGGCCAAGATTTAATGCTGATGGTATCTCTCTGATGGGACCGTCGACGGTGAGAATAAGCAATGAACCCCCAAGCCATACGAGATACGGAAAGGTCGGGTGGATAAATTGCGGTATACGGTATTCCCATATGTGCCATATTGCCGTCGACATAATCGAGGTTACAACGCATGCAGCAAGGTTGTGGTGGGTTTATATGAAGCAAACAAGCTTTTCTCCGCGGCGAGATGGAATGACACAAACCGTGGGGGCAGAGACGCCGAATCGGACAGCAGCGGGCTCGCCCGGCCCGTTCTGCAAGTGCCCTGCTGGCGGGCGGGGG